CTTCATAAAAGATAAGAAAGAATATGGAGGTAGTCACAGAAATGAAAATAGAAAAATTTAAAAAAAGGGAGAGGCTTGCGAGGGTGAAGTGGCTGGAGAAAATTCTTTATTTGGGACAAATTCAGGCGAGAACAGCATGATCAAAATCAATCATTGTTGCAGGTGTAGAGAGCGTGTACAGAGAATTGGAAAGACTTCCTTGCAGTCACTGTTTATGTGAGGAAATCTGGCACAGTTTTAGCATATGACACACAAGAGAGAAATCTGAGTCATATTAGGAAAGAATTGAGAAGTCTCAAAACAAGGCCAGCGAACTCAAGTGCCAGGCCCATGATGTCTTTGGTGTCACAGAGAAAAGAGGTCGTTTCATTATCCTATAGAGGCGTTGAACCCACACATTTCATGTGGCTGAGCAGTTTTTTTCCAGGAGATGGTTTTGCTCCTCAAAGATTTAGATCCTGTATCTTCTGAAAACCACTGTAACCAGCACATTGAAAAAGCACATGTCATGGTTCATAAAAATGCTGCTGTATTTCTTCCACTGTCCTGTTATAATTTAGTCTCGGGGGTAATCTTTTCTGCTCCTGCATGAATACTCTAGTAGCCCATAATTTCCTGCTCATTCTTAGGTGACAGATGATCTATGGTCACTAAGTCGCAAACACTGTCCAGATGCAGAAATTAGAAGATCCAGTCCTGTGTGATACTCAAAACTTTGAACTTAATTTACTGTTAAATCTCCGTCTCTCTCCCGCTCCATACTCATTTCCCCAAGCTTGGGCTGGCTTCAGGATGGAAACCTGCAGTAAAATAGGGGGTGGTGGACCTTCCATTTCTCCACTTCATGTTTCTAGTCCTCTGCTTCCACTTTGAGCTATTGTGTTTCAGCCCCACAGGGTCCAGTGGGACTTGGGGAGACAGGGAAAGGTGACACACAGGGCGGTTCTTATTTGAACCAGTACTTTTGTCATTTAATCTCACTCAGGTCTAACAGATGCCTTTTCCCCTTGAGATGTCATTTTCCTGGGTTGTTCAGAGATTTCTCACTGTTTCTCTTTCTCCTACAATTCCCTTGATCCTGCAAGGATGCTTTTCTTATTTTTCTGTTCTGACGGTCACTTGTGACTCCTTTCTTAGCCCCTACACATCAAGTGCATCTCTAAGCTCCTTCGGTTGGCTCTATTGGACAGAACCAAGACATTCCCCATTAAGGCTCATTCTGTGTCTCAGGGCCCACAGATCCTCCAAAGAACACTTGCCTAGGGCTGACGTGGGGTCCAAGGCAGCAGCACCCTTCTGGTTCTGCCTTTAAATCAGTCAGCTCTCTTACCTTTCAGATTTCCACCTGGTAGGAGTTAGACTCCAGCCAGTGTCAATTTAAGCTTTCTCAAGAGTGAGCTGGGCACCAGCCTCTAAGGCTCAGCTTCAGGAAACATATCTTCTGCTCTCAGGGTTAGAGGGCTTGACCCCCTCCTCCGCCACCTCAAGAAATCTCTTCTCTGATCTCTTTTGTCTCCATTTCTTGATCCTTCTTCTATGTCCTTGGTGTAGTTGAGAAGTCCAAGAGAAGCCCACAGGTTCTCGAGATCATTTACTTTGAAAATCTTCATAACATGGTTTGGCACCTTTCTTTGGAATTTTACATCTGTTATTTTTTTGTTGCCTGGTGGAAACTTCAGTTTTAGTATCCTATTACAGAAGTAATAAACAAACATGATTTATGGGCCAATCCTTGAACCACAGTTCAGTGGTATAACATCTGTCTTTACTAAACATTTTGATTTTTGAGTATGCTTTGTAAAAAAAAAAAAAAAATTGGGAACAACTCTCCAAAAAGTCTTATTTAATCTTTGACCACCAATAGCACCTGTTAACTAGAGCTATAGGCATACAGAGTTCATAAACTAATTTGGAATGAAATACCTTACTGAATGGATATTTTTATGTGGTAGTAGATTGATCCCCAAGGGCATCATATGGTCTTGACCGCTAAGACCTCTTCCAGCATAAGAAAGTAGTGAGTCCATGGTTCTCTGGCTGTACGAGAGGGCAGGAAAGAAAGTGGCTTTGCAATACTGAGCCACTAGGAGACAAATTCACCCAAATTAACGCCCTCGCCAGCTGAGCTCTGTAAACCCAGACTTCATGGGCAACATAATAGCATGTTTCTGTGAGGTTTGAAGGGAGGAGAGAGTGGTGGATGGTTCTATTTTCTGAGGTCAAGATATCCTTACAGGGTTGCTTGAGTCCAAAGCCGAGAGAAGGGAAATAAATACCCGTCCGTGGTCTCCAGATGTGGCATAACCAGATCATGTGTGTTGCTGGTTGGCCCTGACCTTTGAAGTGAAGAGTGAGAGCCAGAAAGGTTGTGTATTGTACGGATTTTTTTCCCCATTTTTGTTTGTGTAAAACCAGGGAGAAAAATAGTTGAGTAAAATCCAAGAGATTTTTTAAAAATTTCACTTCCCTGGAGACCTGAATCATGGAATGGAAAGGCACTTGCTTGATGTTTGATTTATTGAAGTGGTGACTCTCTTAGCCTGTGTCTCCTAGCCTTTTTGAAACTGTAGCCCATTTTTATGAGCATAAAAGTGTCCCACTTCCTTGAAGAGTCTGATTTTCTCACTTCACCCCACCTTGCGACCTCCTTGAGATTTATATGCTTTGTGACATATGGCAGCGGAGAAGATAATACCAAGTTTTACTTTTGATAGTTTCTGTTACATGAACAATAGGCATTTGTTGGCTTTCTAAATATATAAGCATGTATTATATAATTGAATGTGCTTTTTTATTCTACATTATACTTTTTCATGCTAACATATCACCATTGTACAAAACATCCTAAATTTCAGAGGGCTCATAGATCTCCTCAAGGCCATGTATGAACTCTCAAGGGACTGTTTCTCCCAATCCGAGATGACTCAATCATTGCCCCTTGGTAGTGGGCTCTTTTTGCATCCTGTTGAATGTCCTTAACCCTGTTAGAATCACTTTTAGAGCTCTTAGTAGACTTAGAGCTCATTCTAGTCCCATCTCTGCATTTTATAGAAATGGATGCACAAAGAGTTTAAGCAACTTTCCCAAAGTTACACCACTGTGTTTACATTGCAGATCCTGAGCAAGACTCAGGTAGCTGAATTCCAAGCTCAATACTCTTTCCATGTATTGTCAATTGCTTGAATCTTCTCTGCTTTATTCCATTCCTTTTAAAAGTAGCAACCAATACTACAAAACAAATGCTAATACAACAAACTCTGAAAAAATACTTTGTATTCTTTGTATAAACTAATATCAAGCTGCCTTTATTTTATAGTACCTACAAAGCTGAGAAAATATGTATTCAATTACTATGAAATCATATTTTTGCCAAGTGTTATAAATGACACAGGAGAAAAAATACTTAACCCCTAACTTCTTGTAGTTTGAAATTTATCAGGGAGACCCACGTAGTTCATATTCAGCTTATGATCAACTGTGACATCTGGGACCTTTTTAAATGCATTCGTAATTAGTGATTTCCAGCCCTCTGCCCCTACCCTAGAAGTTATTCCTCCTTGAATTCTTGTGTAGTTCATCTACATCAAGAACAATTTGTGACATTGGAAGGGAGATAGGAGAATTCAAATGTCATTTATTGGTAAATTTAGCTGCTAATAATATGAAAGCTTAAGCAGCAATAAAAGGTAATGTCATTTTTAGAAGGGGAAACTGAGGCTCAGCAGCAATATTTGATCTGTTCAGGATTGCTCATTTGGTAGTAGATGGAGTCTCGGAGTCTGGCAGCCGAAGTGGGTTGTGTCAGAGCTCTTAAGCCTCCTTCCCGTCCATGCAAGAAAGAGATAAAGTGGGAAAAAGCAAATAGGGCAAAATAGGCTTGTTGAAAATTGTAGTTTTGTCACCATGAGGTTATGAACATATCAAATTAGCTGACTATGAGACACTTTTAAACATGCCCACTGTTCTGTGTGTCTTTTCTAAAGCCGTAAGACGTTTTTTTATGAGCAGGGGCCTTGTCATGGCAGAGGAGGGATTCACAGAGCTAGGTCATGGATGGTCTATGCTCTTTCAAGATATCTTTATTGAATCTGCCTTTTATTAATATTTGTCTGAGAACTGGGCCTAAAAGAAGAGTAAATGCATCAGAGACATTAAGTCTCAAGACCTTAGGAGAAAAAAGGAATTTAGCCTCCACAAATGTCATCTAAAAACAGGTTCCCAGGTCAGGGAGTCTTGGAAGATGGGATAATGAGACTGCAGGTTTATTTTGAGGAGAAAGTCGTTTCCTGGGACCCATCTTGTGTCAGACTTAGGCAGTTTTTACAGAGGGTAAACCTGACAATCCTCTTGTTTGCTCAGGTTTCCCTTGTCCCTAAGTTTTTCCCTATAAATCACCAGTGTACAGTGGGATAAGGTCACTTTTTGTATTTTTCCATGGAGATTGGGGGAGCAGTAGGAATTTGATAAAGCTACCCATGTGTAAAATAAAAGTTGCTTTGTTCATTTGGCACATACCCACATTGTTTACCCCCAGGAAGGTGCAAAATAAATTGTTTTGTAAGTTTTCAACCAGGAAGAAGAGGGAACATGTGAACAAAAGATAAAATGTAGACATTCTTTAGCTGATTTGCGCTTTGGTGGAGGATGAAAGCAATTGACCAGTCCCAAAGTAGTAACCCTATTTCAAAAAATACTTGGTTCTCAAAATCCTGGCATTGCATATTGGTTATATTTGTTCCTATTTTGTTTGTAAAAGGTTTTAAAGGCATATGATGTAATGAAGTAAATATTATTTTGTGGTTAAAAATTAAATAGTTCTTTTGTATTTTAGGTCTTGTAAGAAATGGAGTTTGTGTGGTAAGGGGAGGACAGCAAGGAGGATGAGGGGAAAACCTTCTAGCTCCTTCCTTATAATTATAAACCATAATTCCTCAGTATTTTTTTTTCCTCTGCTGGTTTGAGATAAAAATAAATGGACTTTTCCCAAAAATGTATTTTAGGGCCCTGTTAGCATCTCAGATGGAACCAACATTTGCCAGGAATGTTTTTCCTTGTTTTGATGAACCAGGTCTGAAGGCAACTTTTAATATTACACTTATTCATCATCCAAGTTATGTGGCCCTTTCCAACATGCCAAAGCTAGGTAAGTAATTTTACTGTAATCTCACATATATATATATATATATATATATATATATTATATATTATATATGTATATATCTAACTCTGTAATAGCTTTTAAATCAATAGCTTTTCTAGGCCATGTGTTGGCAGTGTATTATAATTGTAGCATATTATAATTAGGGAGAGCAGTTACATGGGATATGTGGCAATACCCACATCTCGGAGGTGATAAATTCTGTTTCTTTTTTAAAAAATTAAGTTTCTTGAGGTAACATTGGTTCATAAGGTTATATAAGTTTCAGGTGTACAGTTTTATAATACATCATCTGTATATTACTTTGTGTACTCACCACCCAAAGTCTAATCTCCTTCCGTCACCATATATTTGACCCCCTTTGCCCTTTTTACCCTCTCCCCACTTCCTTCCCCTCTGGTAACCACCATACTGTTGTCTGTGTCTATGAGCTTGTTTGTTTGTTTGTTGCTTTCTGTTTGTTATCCCACATATGAAATTATATGGTTTCTTGTCCTTTGCCATCTGACTTACTTCACTTAGCGTGATACTCTCAAGAGCCATCCATGTTGTCGCAAACGGCAATATTTCATAATTTTCTCTGGCTGAGTAGTATTCTATCATATATCCACCACATCATCTTTATCCATTCACCCACCGAAGGATACTTAGGTTGCTCCCATTTCTTGAATCCTGTTTCTTTTTGTGTTAGAAGTTGGGGACATTATACTGTTTTATACATTGGCAGCCTGTCTGCCCATTAGTTTGGGCTTCAACTATTGATCATAAGTGATAACTAACTAGTGGACTTAGTCTGAATCTGGTGCACAGATGTGTTTTATTTGGTTCACAGGACTCTCTTCTTTTGATTGAAGTAGTACTAACTTTTAAAAATTCAGAGATTTGTCATGAAAGTCAAAATTCTTACTTCCTGGAAAACTTAAAAGATCTAACAGCACTGGGTGATGGCTACAGCTGAGAAGATGCTGCCTTCTGCAGATTGGGCCTGTGCCCCCCAGCTTGTCATGATCCCCCTCAGTCCCTGTTAGTGCACACGGGCCCATTTCACATCAAGTACCTGGTCCTTGCAGGCATTTGAGTTTGTGATTTCAGGCTTAAAGGCTCCAGCCTGCCTCCACTGAAGACCTTGCCGAAACCTGAGATTGGCAGACTTGTGCCTGGGAAGCTCTAGATTCAGTCTCGTAAGAAATGGGCTGGACTAGGAAATGGTAGAAGTGGATGGAAAAGAGAGGAGGCAGATCGTGGACGTAACTTACAGAGCTCATGGATTTGGCCTTCAGGCAAGACTATATTACTCAAGATACTAATTCAGAACCAAGATGCCCACCTTAGATCTTCCTACTATAATTTTGATAGTTTAGGAGTAGAGAAATTTGAACTGCTAGACTATGGGGAGTAGTTGAGAAGAAGTAGCGGGGTGGCAATCAACTTGACAAATTATTTCAAAGGTGGATATTATTGCTTAGGTTTTCAGTGATTTGGACTAAAATATGTTTTTCTAGGTCAGTCTGAAAAAGAAGATGTGAATGGAAGCAAATGGACTGTTACCACCTTTCATACCACACCCCGCATGTCAACTTATTTAGCCACATTTGCTATATGTGACTATGACCATGTCAGCAGAACTGAAAGGGGCAAAGAGGTGAGTGAGGAAGATTCTCCAGGTAAGGGTGTGTTTGTACCAGCTGCAGATTGGTCACTCTTTCTGCATCCAGGGGTTATGCCTACATATCCCATCATCACCTCCTGGTTCTCACTCCAACGTTTTCCAAGCCCTGTTAAAGCTCTGCAGAATGGGACACAGCAATTCTTGCTTGCAGCTCTGTGGAGGGGCTTCCATGGATGGCCACACATTGAGCCCCCTCAAGGTAGGTTCTGAGTCCCCTGTCCCGAGGCCATTGCTGCCTTTCAGAGGACAGGAAAGGAAAAGGGAAAGCTGCCATACTAGTGCTTTGAAGCTAAGGTTTACCTGTTATTTACTTAGCCTACAATGTAAATACAGCCTTGAAGCTGGGCTGGTACTCAGAATGTCTAGCAACCAGCATGGCACGGGCACCAAACAACCCAAACAGGCACCAGCTGGAAACAACTACTGTGGCTGAAATAATGCCTGCAGATTAAATACCATCCCTATTGAGAAGTAGGGCTGCTAGGGTCCTCAGCTCTGGGACATGCAGCACTTCCTCAGAGTTGTATGAAGTAGATGCTCTGTCTGGAAATACCTAGATTTCACCCAATTATACCCTCCTTCCATAATAATCCTTTAGGAAATTATCCAGGTTAATGTGGTGGTACTTTCTGTAATGGTTCGCTTCCTAGACTAGTGTGGAGGTAAGTAGGCTAGTGCTGTAGGCCCAGTTCTTTTTGGTCAGATCAACTTCACGGGCTGAAGAAAACCACGCCCTCTCGCTGGCTGAGGCTCTCTCCTGGGCCCAGAACCTGCGAGGCTCCTACTGTTGACTTGTGGAGACACGGAAGCAGTAGATGAGCGAAGTCTCTTACCAGGGGGAGAGTCGCTCAAAGTTATTCCTCAGGCACTCCTAACTTAATGATGAATTGAAAAATATTGCTCTGGATGCAAACAACAGCTCGTTATCTTCCTCAGCAGTTGGATCCAGCCTGATTTTCCTCATTGAATAATACTCCCTGATAGATGTTGGATATTCACAGATATAAAACCGGCCAAGTCAAAACACTCATGACACATATGGATACATCTACTCAGGCATGGTTTGGAAGCACAGACTTTGTATCTGGCATGAAGGAGTGGGCCCCAGAGCTCATGAGGGACCCAAGGCGGTCTGTCAGCATCCACCTCTCAAGTGGCTTATTGCTGTCAGTGCCTCTGCATAGTGAACAATTCTTGTAAAAGGATCAATACCTGTTTCTTCATGAAAGATCCACCCTGAAAAGAAAGCCAGCTGCCATACAAGCAGAGAGGAAATGGAGCCTCCCTAAGAAAGTCATGTTGTTAGCCAGAAAATTAAAATTTGGGATGAGTTTATCAGTGGAATGTTGCTTTTGGCTAAGGCTCAGTTCTGCTCATATACTCTACAGGGGAACCAGAATGTAGTCTTGGAATAGCACCCAGATGATTAAAAATTGCTCATTAAGAGATAAAAATTTTGTGAAGTTGGCAATGTGGGTCATGCATAGCATGAGGATAAAAATAGGAAACACTAAAGTTGGAAACAACATAATTTCAGTAGAATTTAGCACACATGGGCATGTGTAAAGAAATTTCTCTCTTAGATATTGAGGTCTGCTCTCTCTCTCAGGAGGGCCACAAGAAGATACTGGGGGACTGAACGTGATTTTGAAGGAACTTTCTTTTTTTAAAAACAAAAAACTTTATTGGGGAACAGTGTGTGTTTTTCCAGGACCCATCAGCTCCAAGACAAGTCATTGTTTTCAATCTAGTTGTGGAGGGCGCAGCTCACTGGCCCATGTGGGAATCAAACTGGCAACCTTGGTGTTATGAGCACTGCGCTCTAACCAACTGAGCCAACCAGCCGCTGTAGAAGGAACTTTATGGCTGCATCTCCAATGCTCCTTGCTGCCCTACCAGCACTACCCACTCCTCCCACCCAGCTTGAAATCTCCACCATTTGCCTGCCTTTTGGCTTATAGAATAGCAGTTTATGGGAGGAGCTTTATAAACTGAAAAGTAACTTACAGAATTAATTATTATTGCCATTATGTTCCCAAAAGGCTACAATTGAAATGCATTCATTATCTTGAATGTGTGGAGCAGTGACTATTCTTTCCACTCAAGTAGTGTGGGCTTTGGTTTAGCAGTCTTCCTGTTGCCCCAGAAATTAGAACTAGAGTTGGGGAGAGTAAGTTTATTGTAGGGGCAGGGCTGAGTCCTGAATCCCTGTTTCCCAGCATAATGAGACCTCAGCAGCATGGAGGAGGATGAAAGGAATTAGGGGATCAGGGCAAGAAGTTTCAAAAACAGGTGGTTGCGTTTTATGAAAGGGGAACATTCCTGAAGACCTCACCTAATTCAAAATTCACATAATTCAAGACAAATTTTTCAGCAGAAATTAAAGCGAGTAAGGTGAATGTGTTCTTGGAGTACAACAATCTGCAAATATTATTGTGCTAGTTTTCATTTTCTTGGCATTTTCTCTAATGTTTTGCAGATAGCCCTTTTTCAAGTTAACTGTACTCACATCAGAACCATTATTTAAATTCCCTCATCTCCCTCCAACTTTCATTCCAGGGTTATTGAGTTGCATACATGTTCTATAGCATGAATAGTAGCAACCCCGTTAAAAAGTGCTTAGATGGTATTGTGTTGGGTATGAAATGATTTCACATTAAAATAATAATGAATGTTAAAACAACAGCAAATGACAGTAGTCACCCAAATAAGCTCCCAAGTGCCCGAATAACAACATGGTTACATTAAACTAACAAAACATGGCAGGGATCTCTTCTTACCTACTAAAGGGGAAGTATCATAAGCAGAAAATAGAATTCACTTGCTTCATCAACTGTAAAATCGTTAAGACTTTTGATGAACTTTTTAAAATTAGAGAAATTGTCTGTATTTCACATTTTGAAAATAAGAGGGAACGATTAATGTTTTCATTAACAAACCATTTTAAATGAGCGTGATTCAAATTGATTTAATAGATACCATGCTGTATCACCCTCAGTAACTGCGCAATTCTGCTTTGGAACACTGGAAATAAATCCAGCACAGGGAAGCAGGGGCCCAAGGTGCCCTTTTATTCTGACATAGAATCTACATTTTCTGTGGGGACAGACACCAAGTCACAGATTGTTTTTGCGTTATAATAGTTAACTATGATATTACAAAAGATTGAAATAACACTTTTCTTGGCAAGCCACTGTTCACAACTTAGTGAATACCCTTCTGGATTTTTCTCAGCACGTGTATGCATTTTGTTTCGTAGCCTCTGAAAAAGTGTGACTGTGGCTCTAGAGCAGCAGTTGTCAACCTGTGGGTCGCGACCCCTTTGGGGGTTGAACGACCCTGTCACAGGGGTCGCCTAAGACCATCAGAAAACAAAAAGATATTTACATTACGATTCATAACAGTAGCAAAATTACGTTATAGAGTAGCAACGAAAATAATTTTATGGTTGGGAGGGTCACCACAACATGAGGAACTGTATTAAGGGGTCGCGGCATTAGGAAGGTTGAGAACTGCTGCTCTAGAGCATGAGAGAATTGGAGCAAGCAGGCTGCCACTTTCCAAAATCACCACTGTTTTTCCTAATCACTGCCTAATTGTTTTGATATAGATACGCATCTGGGCCCGGAAAGATGCCATTGCCAATGGAACTGCAGACTTTGCTTTGAATATCACTGGTCCCATCTTCTCTTTTCTGGAAGATTTATTTAATATTAGTTACCCTCTTCCAAAAACAGGTGAGGCATCTTCCCTTCCAATGCAATTGATTTCCTATGATATGGCGGTTCTGGGTTGAGGTCAAAGGATATCCAGACCAGCCTCCAAAGACCCATTGTCCCCATCTAGCTGCTATTTGGGAGTTCTATCCCTTTCCTACCTAATACATAGAGGCCTGTCTGCTCTTTCTGTGTGTGGTGCCAAGTGCCCAGCAGGTGTTCAGTGAGCTCTCAGGCTGTAGATCCCTCCTGGGTCCTCACTGGCAGCCTCATATCCTTAGACCCTTTCTCTCCTGCATTCTGTTCTTGTCTCTCATAATGCAAGTGTGCAATGCAATGTTCTGGATCCTTTTAGCGGGGCCTGCGTGAGTTACCCCAGTTCCCTTTACTAAGTTTTGTTGGTTTTTAAAACATATTTTTTAGTTATGAGTCATTGGATTAGGACTTAAGGGTCCCATCTGTGAATTTTCATTGTATGAAATTGGAATCATGTGTGTACATAATAAGATCCTTGAGGAAATATGTGAACATTTTATCTTTCATAGATCTATACATATGTCCTTAAAATTGTGTGAGCCACTCAGCTCAGAAAGTTTATCGTTTTTTCTCTCTAAATGGAGGGTATTATGTAAAATGTATTTTTTTTTCCTCTGACATGGGTTAGTGGGCAGGATTACGAGTGGGTGGAGGAAAAGGAAGTTTAGAAGAATGGGAAACTTATGCTAAGGCAACTAAGTTTGTCCCTAGATAATAGAGCACTAACTGGTAGATGTTACATAATGATCTGAGTACACACTTTACTACACCCTGTCAACTTCAACCATGTGTAAAGTCAACTTAAATTATTGAACACAACATAGCACAGAACATTCATTAGACAATGTAGCATGGATTATAAGAATGATATTTCTTCCACTGGCAAAAGGAAAAATAAAATAAACTTTTATTCTAGTTATAAAAGTAATAAGTGATCACAGTGTAGAAACTTTGGTAAAATAAAGAGAAATACAAAAAAGAGAAGGAAAACTCTCTGTATGCTACCATGCAGACATAACCATAGCAGCCATAACCATGGCTGACATTTGGCGTAGATCCCAATGCCTGTCTTAGCCTGGATCACTGTCTTTTCTATATTTGCTTCTTTTTTTTTTTTTTAACAAAGATGACAATATAGAGGTGACACTGTTCTTTGAATGGCTTTTTTTTTTTTGTATGTAGCAACATGATCCAGATATCTAAATATTCTTTTTTTATTGTTATTTTTAAGGCAGAATGCCTACCTATCAATTTGACAAAATAATTGATTTAACCCTTTGGACTGATTCTACCACCTTTGGGGGCACTACTTTCAAAACACTAAAGAAAACCCTTATAAGGAAATGTTTACAAATATCTGTGTTATTTACCTTAGTATAAATTCCAAAAGTTGAATGATTTAGTCTAAGGGTAGGAACATGTGTAAAGATTATAAAGCACTTTTCTGGATGGCTCTGGAAAGATTGTACCAGTTCACACCCTCACCAGAAAGCTATGTGTCAGTTTCCTATACCTAATTATTAATACTAATTATTAATACTAATGCTGACCACTATTAATTATTAACTTTCTCATACATTTGAAAGATTAAGTTATATCATTGTTTTAATCTTTGTTTTTGATAACTAATGAAGTTGAGCATTTTAAATAAGATTTTTGGCAGTTTGAATTATTTCTTTAGTGAATTTTGATTTGTCAGAGGTCTTTAAATAGTGAAAAAATATTGTCTAGTTGTGATATATGCTGCAAATATTTTTCCCCAGTTTGTGGTTTGCCTTTTAAATTTGTTTATGGTGTCTTTTGGTGAACTACAATATTTAACTTTAAATAGACATTTTGGAGAGTTCTAATATGCCTGTTTTTGTATATGCCCCACCCCAGTTTCTGCTATTAATATCTTGCATTAGTGTGGTATGTTTATTGTAATTGATGAACCAATATCGATATATTATTATTAACTAAAGTCCATAATTTACATTAGGGTTCACTCTGTGTTGCACAGCTCTATGAGTTTTGACAAATGTATAATGTGTAAACCATTGCAGTATCATACAGAATAGTGTCACTACCATTAAAAATTCCTTGTGTTCTACCTGTTTATCCTGTCCCCTCCCCCAAAGTCCCTGAAAACCACCGATCTTTTTATTTTCCCTATAGTTTTGCCTTTTTCTCTAATGATGTATAGTTGGAATTATACCACATGTAGATTTTTCAGCCTGGCTTTTTTCACTTAGTGATATGCATCTAAAGTTTCTCATGACCTTTCATAGCTTGATAGATCATTTCTTTTTATCACTGAATAATAACTCTATTGTGTGGCTGTCCCACTGTTTATCCATTCACTTATTGAATGACATCTTGGTTGCTTTTCATTTTAGGCAATTGCAAATAAAGAAGCAATAAACATTTGTGTGCAAGTTTTTGTATGGACATAACTTTTCAACTCATTTGGGTAAACACCTAGGAGTCAATTGCTAGACTGAATGGTTAGCCTATGTTTAGCTATAACAGAAATCTCCAAACTGTCTATCAAAGTGGCTGTACCATTTTGCATTCCCACCAGCAACAAATGAGAGATCCTGTTGTTCCATTTCTTCTCCTGCATTTGGTGTTGTATTTTGGTCTTTAGCCTTCCTAGTAGGTGTGTTAGTGGCATCTCATTATTGTTTTAATTTGCAATTTCCTAATGACATATGATGTTGAATATCTTTTCATATGCTTATTTGCCATTTGTATGTCCTTTTTAGTAAAGTGTCTATTTTGATACTTGCCAAATTTATAAAGTTGTTTATTTGCTTATTGTTGATTTTTAAGAGTTCTTTGTATATTTTGGATACAAGTCCTTTATCAAAAGTGTTTGATTTTTGTATAGTTAAAACAATTTATTTTCTGGCTTCTGTCTTTGGTATTTGTCTTTAAAGCCTTCTTGTCTTTCAGGTTATAAATATTCACTTGTATTTTCTTTCAGTAATATGTGATTTAAGTTTGAGATATTTATATCTGGAAATCTCAAATTTTGGGGACGAGATGATTCCATTTTTCCCTCCATTTAAATCCACTTAGATATAATTGCCTTGCCTGCTTTTGACAACCGTGCAATGGAAAATTGGGGACTAATAATATTTGATGAGTCACTATTATTGCTGCAACCCGATGATCAACTAACAGAAAAAAAGATGGTGATCTCCTACATTGTCTCCCACGAGGTTGGACATCAGGCATGTGGTAAAATGTTCTTTCTTATTACACATGAAGACGTTCTCTAGCTGCTCTACTAAAAGTAGCAAACAAACAAACAAGCAAAAAACTGCTGTATACCAAATTAAAAAATATATATTTGAAAAATGGGCTAGTGAGTAAAAACAAGGAAGGATCTGTGTAATCAGATCTTGGGTGGACTTGAATGATTGGTGATGATTGGATCATAGTGATGAGACCTTACAGTCCATTTGAGGGTCAGGTATTTACACCCAAAGTTTAGCTTTGCTCCACAAAGTCCACTTCAGGAAAAATAAACCAAGCAGAGCTGTGATTATCTGTTTTCATACAACCTCAAAATAAGGTACATTGTAAATGGCAACTCCATTAATACAGCTTTATGAAGAAAGAAGTCATCTAAACTATGAAATTGTTATCTTCTTGTTATGTGGATCCATAAGAAATTTTGCAAAAGAGTGATTTACTGGGATTGTGTAACACCTTGTTACACAGTCAACACACATTTTCACAAGTTTTGGTCAGTCACCCAAAGTGTCATTTTTTATTATAGCCTAAGTGACACGTTGTTTTGGAATACAGGCTGCTACTATTAGGACATCATGGCTGTTATGAGAATTTGGTTAAATACCAGGGTGTGGATTTGTTGGTTTTGGAAATTGTTGTTCTTTTTTTTTTTTTTCCTGATTCTGTTCATCATCTGCTTGGCACTTTCTTTCTGGTAAGCTCAAATACAAAATAATTATAGCTGGATTATTTTGCAGAACATATGATTACTTGAGTGATTTGTACACGGCACAGATCGAATCATGTTCTTAAAACACAATAACTGCTTACCACAAAATCCTGACATAGTCTAAGATGCTGTAATTAGTAGGTATTAAGTGAACATTCAGAACTTCTGCTCTATTTAACTTATGGACAAAGTAGACAGTATGAGAAGTGCTACTCTAGCTTATATTATTTTCAAACAGCAGTTTTAAAACAAAAATTGCTTTCAATCATTGAATGTGAAATAATTATTTCAGATAATTGCATGACTGATATCGCTTCATGTTAAAACAACAACATGCTTTTGGGAGTCCTGTTTTATTGATAGCAAATAAAATTTAATTATGTCTTTGACCTTATATTTATTTAACATGCAGTTACAAACAAATATTACTTAAATTTAAAAAAGCTCTTTTTTTCTCCCATCTTCAAAAGTGGTTTGGAAACTTGGTTACCATGAGTTGGTGGAATGATATCTGGCTCAATGAAGGTGTTGCATCCTATTTTGAGTTTGGAGTAATTAATTACTTATACCCTAAACTCCCAAAAGTAAGTATGTCTATTAAATTTATTTATCATTTTTTCCTACTTATAAAAGTAATGCATATTCATTGTTGAAAATGTGTAAAATACAGAAAAGTACAAGGAATATTAAATTATCTGTAATACCAGATATGATCAGTGTTATCTTTTTGTTTGCTTTACTTATTATAAATATTCATAATAGGGGGAATTACACAGAAATGTGTAATGCCTTTTCTACTTCATATGATATCAAGAGCATTTCCACAAATCATTATTTTTAAAAACAATATTTTTAAGGGTTGCCTAAATATTGTATTATATCACCTTACAAAATGTATGTATACAATCTTTCCCTATTGTTAGATTTTAGGTTATTTTCACTTATTCCTACCAGGACTAAATTTTAAAGCAGTTGTAATCAGTAGTCTATGACTTTAATGATAAGTAATATGCTATATTATATATTATAAATATATATAATGTTACACATAATATATCTGATATTGTATATAATATTAATAGCTGATATGTGTATTATAGCTGATATTGTTTTGTTTTTAGGAAATAGTAATATGAAAAAATAAATTTATGAGTATGCAATTCTGATGATTTCAAGTGAAAATTATATTTCTGATCATTTATTTAAAGTAGTTAGGTAGTGCTTTCAGAATGGCATTATGAAGCCAAATTGATTTTATTTGATTTAGATGTTTAAATGTTTAGCTTTAATATCATCCTTCGACACAGACCTCACATCTTTATTGCAAGCCAGAGGTCCTGCCTCCTGTCATCTCTGTGATGCCCCAGGCTGCTTTTCCTGCTGCTCTTTGCTGCCGCTCCTTCATCTCCTCTTCCAGGTGTTTCCTAGGCTCAATTCTTGGCCTGTTTTCTCCTCTCCCCACCCTCACTCATTCAAAGAGTGTATTGTTATTTGAAATGCTGATCTCCGCTGGACAGATCTTCCATACAGGCTAAATGTTTTCACTTTGAAGGAGATTCTAAGATTATATTCTTTCTATAATATTAGTATTAAATTTCTCTTCTTTTATGAGGGAATGGTGATGGTAGATAGATGATATTTGGTTTATGTTGATTAAAAAGTTGACAAACCTATCTTGGCCACACAGAAACTTTAAAAAAAAAATGGTTTTCATCTGTTTGTGAAATCTCAGTTACTGATATAGCAGCCTCTTAATGCCCCAGTTTCATGCCACCCACCCTACCCTTTGCAGACATCCTATAAAATGCCCCCACCCCACAGCCGAGCTGCTCTGTAGTGTCTCTGCTTTTTCTCCTCTGGATTGGACATCATTATATAGATCAAGAGAGTGAAGTATTGAAAGGTTAAGTGACTTGCCAAGGTCATTTACCTGATTGGGACAGATCTGTGATTATAACCTGGTTGTCTGGATCTAGTCTGATGACGAGGATAATGATGATAATAATATTGTATTTACCATTCTCAGAGCACTTAAGACTTCAGTGTGAGGTAGTGTGACTTCTATACATACATCATCTTACTCAATTCTCAGAACAGTCATCTGAGGTAGTTGTTATTTTTCCTATTTTACAGTTGAGGAAACTGAGGCATTAAGTAAGTTGTTCAAGGTCTCACAGTTATTAAATGTCAGAGATGAGATTCAGTTCCAGGTTACTCTGACTGCAAAACTCGTGCCTTTAACATCCGTGTTCTGCAGAGAAAGCACCTGGGAGCTTTTTGTTTTCCAGGAGCTACTGGTGTGTGTGTGTGTGCGTGTGCGCGTGTGTGTGTGTGACTGTGTGTGTGTGTGTGTGTCTGTGTATCTCTGTGTGTGTACGTCTGTGTGTATGTGTGTGTGTCTGTGTGTGTACATGTGTGTGTGTGTGATCTGACTCTCTTCATACATATACACTTTATATACATATATTAATAGTAAACCTTAGTTGTCTTCAAAAGTCCTTTCCATATACTCTATACCTAAAAAATTGTTTATATCTCTCTTTTATAAAATAGAATCTACCCATGGTTAGTGTCATCTGTAACTGTTATTGAAAGCATTTGGTTGTATCGCAAATTATCTCTGTACTTAGAGTCAACAAGGGAAGAAGTTCCATCCCCATAAAACAATTAGGCTCACCCTCTATGTTCTTCATTGAATAGAATATATT